TGCTATGGAAACGTCAACAAAAAAGACAACTTTTGCCTCCGGGCAAGTCTATCACTTAAAAATTCATGCCAATAATGGGAAAAAAAAGCTAACATATACGCAACAGGAAAATGAAAGAGCTAAACGAAACGGGCAAAGGGCTAAAGAAGAAAACAAGAAACTAAAGGCCCAGAACAAATTCCTCTGGAAAAGATACAGGGCGAATATGCCGAAACAAATGGGGAGATGGACAAGGAACCCCTGCCCACCGCGACAATACCACCCTACATTCACCCAATGCCACCCACCGAAACGATTCAAGGCATGAACGTGAGTGTCGACAATCCCCAAACACTGGACCAACTGGACCTTGGGTAATCTCAATGGCCTCCTGAGCGATACTTTTATGAACACAATTCTGAGCGATGATATTATGCCAGAACAATTAAACATTTTTAACGATCAATAACAAACAATTTAATATGTTACAAATATAAATTAATCTCTTTATATCCAAACAATTTAATGTACAGTTCAATACTATTCAAAAATGTAAAAAAAATATAAATTAATCTTTTAAAAAATTTTTTTATGCAAACAATTCAATGTACAATTCAGTATATTATTCAAACATTACAAATATACATTTCTTCAAAATTCCAACAATGTCAATTATTATTTAATGGTTTTTTTTTTACTTCAATTGGCCTTTTCTCCCAAGACCTTCTGTTCTGGAACCATCCACATACCTTCTCCTTCGACAAACCAAATCATGCCATTAAACTTTTCCTTTCCAGTACTGTTGGATGCCCCCCACTACTTGCATACATTTCCTTCAAAGCCACCAGTTCCTCCATCGTAAAACCATGCCTTTCGCGGTCCTCACTAAATAAATCTAAAAGGAAAAAGTCATTAAAAACAATACCCCCACTTCAACTATATACAAACATTCCCCGCTTACCATGCCACAAAACATATGGTGTAGCTATCAGCAGTGCAGAAGTTGTCGCCCACGGCGATAACATAATCATGGGTGTCTGTACAGGAACACAGGACCCTGAAGGAAATTGCGGACCAGTATCGCTATTCCCCGAATACTTCAAACTTAGTAAAATTTTAGCTGCTTCGTACTCTTCGCTGCTCATTTCAACAGTACTTTCCATCCCAAGAATAAAAACAATAATCCAAAAGCTACATAAAATAAATCTTTGCGTACGCACGCAAAAACACACGTCCGCAATTCAAAGATTAAGTTCCCTGTATAATAATAGTATATTCATTTAAATACCTGTTATAGTCTAGGACCTGTGTATGAGTTTGTATGCATTTCATTTAGGACAGATAATCTCAACTGTTTTAGGGTAAGTTGACCATGACGGTCAACATGGTAACGCTGCCCGAACCCCAATCCGGGGCGAAACGTCCGAAACTGACCACACCCAAAAACGACGCTTTCGCCATACTGCTATCTACCAAACCATAAAAGCTTTGGCTATTCTGAGGTGCTTATATGGTTCAGAGATGGTACTTTTGGGGGTGGTCATTGGTAAGTGTGAAATGCCAAGCACTAATATTTCACAAGAAAATGGCCATGCAATAATTAACAATTATTGGATGAGGTTTTTGTGATATGCGGAATTATCAAGGTCGAGGTAAGCGTTATCAGCCGAGCCGAAGGCGAGGCTGATAACGATTACCGAGACCTTGATAATTTTGCATATCGCAAAAACCGAATTCAATAATTGTTTTATTATACATTTGAAGAATAATAAACATAGTATTTTAAATAATAAAACAATTATTGAATTCGGTTTTTGCGATATGCAAAATTATCAAGGTCTCGGTAAGCGTTATATTCAATATGATTTCTGGCAAAGCTGTTCAATTAAAACGTTTCTATAAACAAGTCTCCGGAAGTCCAACAGTTAAATTAATTACAAATATAAAAGAAACATATTATCGTTAAGATGTTAACGTATTAAAATATTTACTTGTTAAAGTAAACATTACAATTATGAAATGTACATTCATTTGAAAATTGAAATGTACACTCATTTGAAATGTACACTCATTTGAAATGTACACTCATTCAATTTCACGCAACCTAACACAAAATTCAGTTATCTGCTAGCAGATAACTGAGTTATCTGCTAGCAGATAACTGAATTTTGTGTAGGTTGCGTGATTGCGCGATTTAACTGTTAGCTCTTAGCCAATCAAATTGCTTTTACCAACTACAATGTATAATAATCATAGTTAAACGTCAATTTGTGGCTTGCAAATTCAGATAAACAGCAGTGGACTTACATTACCTTTTTCCCTAAATCGTTTTGATAGAAACATAAATGGTACTTATTTAAATATATTATCACTGGTTTGGTGTAAAATAGTTAATATTTTCTGACCGAAATAATAATTTGAAATGTGCCTACCTCCTGCAAATGGACGTATTTGGCCAAGTTCTCCACTTTACTCCGCTGTTTATCGGCGATCTCGTCGACATCCTACAAAAAATGTAAATCATCTCAGACATAATGGTATCAAGAACATTTTAAACAAGTTTCAACTTGGTTTCAAGTAGATCATACCTGTTTAACCATCGACAAGGTGAGTCCACAACTTTGTCCAAATTCGGCGCCATTTTGTCATCCCATGTCGCTTGTTAGCAATTCAGCCTTGTTACTCTTCCATCCAAGCCATTTCCATTCCACTAATAATAAATTTAACCCTTTATAACAGGAGGAAACTAAAAAATCTAAACAAAATATAAGAAATACGCCATTTTATCACCATGTAAAATTTTCTCACGAGTCTTTCAAAACATTCCGTACAAATATCGCGTGACAAAGTAACAGGGACGTGACAGGAGGGGGTGAATTATTTCACGAAGATAGAAGAAGGCTGCGTGAAATAGACTAAAAGCTAAATACAATCATACAAATGTTTGTTTTATTTCTTGTAGCGACAAATATATACATATTATTATTTATTAATATGAAAAAGTCATACAAATTAAATGTTGATTGTTGGTTTTACCATACTGTGTGGGCTTTCCTTTCATTTTTCAAGTCTCTACCCCCCCTGTCACGTCCCTGTTGCTAAACCACGCGAGATTTGTACGGAATGTTTTGAAAGACTCGTGAGCAAAATTTTACATGGTGATAAAATGGCGTATTTCTTATATTTTGTTTAGATTTTTTAGTTTCCTACCGTTATAAAGGGTTAAATTTATTATTAGTGGAATGGAAATGGCTTGGATGGAAGAGTAACAAGGCTGAATTGTTAACAAGCGACATGGGATGACAAAATGGCGCCGAATTTGGACAAAGTTGTGGATTTACCTTGTCGATGGTTAAACAGGTATGATCTACTTGAAACCAAGTTGAAACTTGTTTAAAATGTTCTTGATACCATTATGTCTGAGATGATTTACATTTTTTGTAGGATGTCGACGAGATCGCCGATAAACAGCGGAGTAAAGTGGAGAACTTGGCCAAATACGTCCATTTGCAGGAGGTAGGCACATTTCAAATTATTATTTCGGTCAGAAAATATTAACTATTTTACACCAAACCAGTGATAATATATTTAAATAAGTACCATTTATGTTTCTATCAAAAAGATTTAGGGAAAAAGGTAATGTAAGTCCACTGCTGTTTATCTGAACTTGCAAGCCACAAATTGACGTTTAACTATGATTATTGCATGGCCATTTTCTTGTGAAATATTAGTGCTAGGCATTTCACACTTACCAATGACCACCCCCAAAAGTACCATCTCTGAACCATATAAGCACCTCAGAATAGCCAAAGCTTTTATGGTTTGGTAGATAGCAGTATGGCGAAAGCGTCGTTTTTGGGTGTGGTCAGTTTCGGACGTTTCGCCCCGGATTGGGGTTCGGGCAGCGTTACCATGTTGACCGTCATGGTCAACTTACCCTAAAACAGTTGAGATTATCTGTCCTAAATGAAATGCATACAAACTCATATACAGGTCCTAGACTACATGTATTTATAAAAAAAAAACATGCAGGAAACTAACAAAAAAATAAGGAATAGACTAGAATGGACGACAAACTCAAAGTGCAAAATTGGGCATGCTTGTGCGAGATTATGCGACATTAGACGAAATTAGGCGACATTAAGCGAATAGACTGTTAGGCAAAGTTCAAAAATCGGGTGCACATGGGCGAAATTAGGCGACATTAGGTGACATTAGGCGAAATTAGGCGACATTAGGCGAAATTAGGCGACATTAGGCGACCTTGGCCCCCAAAGTAGGCCTTGTATATTGAATGAGACCTCTCGAATTTCAAATCACGCTGACTTTAGTGTTTAGGGCTATTCAGGTATGTAGACTTAAGCACTAAGCGTGTATAAGGATGCATCTACAAGTTCTGAAGAAAAAACATGAGAACAGTTCTGGAGATCGTTGGCGGCCACTGGCCATCCCCTTGACTAAGTCACTGGGTGTAGACCCTATTTATAAAGATCTACTTTTACCTAGAAAGACCAAAACAAAGCAAGCTGAATGAAATAAATATTTTTTTAAAGGTATCCAACACGTATCATTAAAGAATATCTTTGTCAGTCACCGTGGACAAGATGAAGATAATTGTGGCAACTGGACATTACCATGTCGTAGTGTAAGACACGCTGTCAACATTTCCAGTGCTAATGACGTCATACATATTGATTACGCTGAGGGGAGACCTTATAAAGAATGTGAACACCTTATTTCAAACGAAAACCACGCGATTATGCTGAATAAATCGCTATCGTTTTACGGCTTTAATGGAACAGCGATATTACATTGTGAACAAACCTACTCATTTTTTGGAATAAATAGTTCTGAACATATAACGTCAAAAATTGTATTCTCAAACCTTTCATTAGCTAGCCGTGGAATTTTACTTCACTTTTATGATAGAACTAGGTTTGAACTGGAATTTAATTTCTGCAACGTAGAGAGATCTTCGCGTTTTGTCTCGGCTGATAATCTCTTATCTTGCTCACTTCATGTGCTTGGTTCCAGTATTCGAAGCTCATACGAACCGATATTTGCGAATTGCATTAATCTTACGGCTCGCCTGATTGAATCGACATTTTCATGCATGGTTACACTGTATTCTCCTAACCAGACGTTTGGCTTAAATTATCAAGACAGAAAGCCAGTGTTGAACGTTTATATCTACAACTGCACTTTTATACCGATGAATAGACAACTATCTTGCGATTATCTTGTTGGAATTAACCCCGAATCTGCTCAACTATCTAACATCACAATTAAATCTTCCACATTTATGAACTTTTATAATCTTGCAGATATATCAAGATCAAGTGCACTCAGCATATTCTCTAATTCTCGACAAATTACCATAGTTTTGGATTCACTACGTTTTGAAAACATTACCTGTTATTACGCGGTGATTTACATGCATTTATTGTATGAAAAAGAACGTGAAATACCTATTGCTGGCATATTGAACACTGTATTTGTAAACACTTCCAGAGCAGTCATGTGCGTTGCCGAATGGCCATCTGTTACATTTTTCTCTTACTTCATGGTAAAGTTTTACAATAATACGTTTAACATTACTCATGGCGGTAAATTTGGAAACGAAGGGCCGGTATATCTTCTTGGTGGTTCATACCACTTCTTATCATGTCATTTTTTTCAAAATGCTCCTGTGTACAATCCTATCTTTCCACTTTTTCATTTTGAATGTGGTACCCAGGTAACGTTTGAAAACTGTTCGTACGAAAGTTATCCAATCACAGAAACTAATGGAAATTTGTCGAACAGCAACATGTTCTACGTTATATTATACGAAACAAGTATCTCACGTGTTACTATAGAGGGATATCTTACAATCCTTTGTCCCCAAGGTTATAAGGTGAATTTAAACACAAACTGTTTCCTGGAATCTTGTTCTTTATTTACTGCGTTATGTGAGCAATGTCCGAGAAAAACATACTCCTTCGACAGAGGAAAAGCTCATAATACCCGGTCCAACCACATCACCTGCCATGAATGCCCTGTGGGTGGGAACTGCGTCGAAGGCCAAGTGACATCTAAACCTAATTTCTGGGGATACAAGTCAAACCAAACGGTCACGTTTCATCAGTGTCCTGCCAAATACTGCTGCGATACTAACCAATGCGAGCATTACAACAGTTGCCATGGTAACAGAATGGGTACCCTGTGTGGTGAATGCCCCAGTGGAATGTCGGAATCTCTATTTGACACAAAATGTAAAGCAAACAAAGATTGCACAAGTGTTACGTTTTGGCCAGCGATCTCAGCTTACTTAACTCTTTATCTCTTATTTTTCTTGTACCAAAAAGATATCATCAATTTTGTCTTGGGGCGTATTACACCAAGATATTTTTTGTCTTCCAAAAATGGTCGAAACTCCAAACCCGGCGGCTTCCTAAAAATAATATTTTATTATTATCAGATTGTTCATTTGTTACGCAACTCTGTTGGCTCAGATGTAAAAGTTAAATTCTTTGATGACGCAGAAAACCTTTTATCCAGGGCATTCAATTTTCTTATCATTGGTATTCCTTCCATTGATTGTCCATTTCAAGATCTTCGTCCTGTTCAAAAGGCGGTCATCGTTCATTCTGTAGGGTATAGTTTGTTAACACTTCTTTGTCTATTGTATCTTTCTAAATTTGTATTCAAGGTAGTTAAGAAACTGAGGACTAGATCTACTCAGCAGGCGGTTGCTGGTACCGAAACAATGGATCATAGTCCTAATTTAGAAGAGAATCCTTTTCTGGGACGTATTGCAGGGGCCTTTGCTAACATTTCACTTTTGACGTACGCCTTGTCCACTCAACTCTGTCTTTCCCTTCTTCACTGTGTACCAGTTGGTGACAACCAAGTTTTATTTCTTGATGGTCATGTGAAATGTTACAAAACATTTCAATATTTTCTTTTTGTTTACATGATTTCTTCCATACTTCCATTTTGTCTTGTTCCTGTTCTCGGTTCGTATCTTTTGAAATTAAATCGTATTTCTGTAGCGCAGTTTTGTCTTGCTTGTATCTTTCCACTGCCATTCTGTTGTTATTGGTCTTATTTGTTGGTACGGAATTCTTCGTGGTGGATGAGACCTTCTCGTCGTGTAGAAACAAATGACCAAATACAAGATGATGCAATTGATGAAAACTCTACTGATTCAACTACAATTGATGGCAGGGGAACTGTGAGTGGAAATTCAAACCCAGAAACCGAAAATTTGAGCACAGAAACCGCGTTGAGGGGCAGTAAGGCGGCCGTTCTTCGAGTTCTTCTTGGTCCATTCAGGCCACACAAGGCAATTTTTATTTTCCCTGCCTCGCATCTTCCATGGGAAGGTTTTCTTATTCTTCGTAGACTGGTATTGATTTTGGTCCTCACGTTTGTGTACGACACTCGTGTGAAGGCAACTCTATCCATGATACTTTGTGCAGTTATTTTACTGCCTCATGTACTCGTTAAGCCTTTCAAGAGCGCCAGCGATAACGTACTTGAAACATTATCCCTTGTAATGCTGATAATCATCTCTGGTTTTAATTTGATTAAAAGTATTTATTATGGTGAAGATTTGGACTCCGGTAGCAAGGCTTTGTTAAATATGATCAACGTGATTGAAAATGCTCTTATAATTTTTCCCGTTGCTCTCATACTTTCTTTGGTAATGCTTTCCATTCTTTTGAAACTGGTAATGGTGTTTCGGCTTTGCTTTCAAGCTACATTCAGGCGATTGAAACTCTTTAAACAAACTCATCAAAGACCCTCTGAGAACTGTACTCCTGAAGAGCAACAGTCTTTGCTCTCATCGTGAGAGTAAAAAACTTGAGTCAACATGCTTTTTGAGTGCATAATTTTTCCATGTTTCCAGACGATGTGACGGGGCGCAAAGAATCTGGAACTAGCAATGGAACAGAAATCGATTTTGATGGATTTAATCCATTTTGTTCTTCTGTTTCCTGTTTCCCATTTTGTTCTTCTGGAAACTTTAGGAATATTTTTAATGATGGAAATCACAAGTCCAATCTAGAAAAATAACAATACATTTGAAGGGATTTAAGTCATTTTAAAATCTGACAGTGGATTTCTATTGGACAAGCAATGAGCTCTGTATATATCTGGAGTGCTTCAGTCATTCAGCCAATGAGAGAAGTGAAGCCAATTAATATGGCGGAAACTGACGTCCAAATCTATGAACGTCGTAAACTATTTCCACACCATTTTCTCCAACCACATCTAGTTTTTTTCTAACAGATCGTATCGCTGATCAAGTTATTCAGAACCATAATATTCTTCCATTCGTAGTAAAAGCACGATATCTCGGCACATCATTGCACATTCGTGTTGACCGCTGTGATAAAATAAAAGAAAGGGACTGGAACTTAGCGTCAATTTGCGCCATCTCGGCATCACCTTTTTCAACCGAGTTCTCGCTCCAGATATGAATATAGAGCTCAGTGATGTGATGCTACCGAGCTCATTTTCACAGCAATGACATAACATAAGTCATGATTGGATGAGTTAACATTAGTATGAAATCGTAAATTGTAGTTTGCATATTAGATTAGAGTAGTAGACAACATAAAAAGGACAATTGTAGACTGTTTTGGTGTTAAAATGCATGTTAAATAGGACAATGTTGCCTGTTATAGGTTTTCAAGGGAACTTAGTCTAAACTTCATTGTAAAATGAAATGAAATGTCAAACTAGTAAGCTAGATTAGCAATCGATAATTTTATTTGAGTAATAAAAAATTGTACCTATTTTTCATTATGATTAAGAAAGAGAAATATGACTTGAATCGAGCAAGATAAGGATACAGCCAGGACAAAATAGTAAGACCTCTCTACGTCGCAGAAATTAAATTCGAATTCAAACCTATTAGAAATGGCAGAGGTAGCGGAGAACAACGGCCCATGGCTAGCCAGGGAAAGGTTCGAAAATACAATTTTGGGGGTTGTATGTTCAGAACTATTTATCCAAAAAAATGAGTATAGTTGTTCACAATGTAATTTCGCACTTCCATTAAAGCCGTAAAACGATAGTGATTTATCCAGTATAATCGCGTGGTTTCCTCCAATTAGATGTTCACATTCTTTATAAGGTCTCCCCTCAGCGTAATCAATATGTATGACGTCATTAGCATTGGAAATATTGACAGCGTGTCGCACACTACGACATGGTAATGTCCAGTTGCCACAATTATCTTCATCTTGTCCACGGTGACTGACAAATATATTCTTTAATGATGCCTTGAAATATATTCTTTAATGAATACCTTTAAAAAGAATAGTTTTTTAGTGTAATTTAAGTAACCGGAAGTTCCGCGTGAAGCCTACGAGTGAAACACCTTATATATTTTCAGCCTAGTTCCTGGCCTTCTCGCTTCCGCCTCATTATTTTAGGGGGAAATCGATAAGGTTTGCAGGTTGACCGGGATGAAACTGTATTATTTGGAGACTGGGACCCAGTTCGGATATTTTCCGAAACTGACAGCCCGCAAGTTCACGACAGCCTGTAACTCGCCCGCGCTTGGAAGGCCAGGGACTAGGCCAATATATTTTATGGTCTAACCAGTCCAACACCGCTTTATCAACTTGTTGAACTTGACATAAAGGCTTCAAGTCGTGCCCTGTCGAAACTTGTTTGACATTCAAGAGATATACATTCCAGTGCAATTTAAATAAAGCAGAAACACTAAACCAGTGCTTACAAAGATGAATTAATTGGTTTAAAAACTTTTGAGACATAAATTGAAAATGTTACAACCATGCCGCTCTACGATGGAATGTCTACGTACTAGATAAAACATGAGCAGCCGATCTGTATCTGATATAGGCCTACAAGCCGAAGGCGAGAGTTTGTATATCAGATAACTAGATCGGATGCGAATGAGTTCATTGGCGAAGTAATTTTAAAAATAAACATTGTCTAAGCCGAGAAAATCAAAGCTGAATGTAAATCAGGACAAATCTTTATCCGATTTACAAACATTGATTAAACATTCATTTCTTTTGTATTTTCCTCGTGAATTATTAATGCCTTTTTTAAATATTGTTAATCATTTTAACGAAACATATCAAGCATTAGACAGTGAAATACACGTCTCAGATTTCATAACTTATACAGTGGGGGTCAAAAGTCTGAGTCCCGTCAATATGATTTTGCCTTTTATTGATATACAATATATTTTCACACAATACAGCACTATATGTGCGTCGAATAAGGATTTACATCAACGTTGGAATTGATTATACTATATTAGCCAAGTGAACATTATTTTAATATTTTATGTGACCTTGATTTTAAGAAGAAGCGGAAGAAGGAAGAGTTAAAGCTATTTTATGTGCAAACTATATTAGCCATGTTAGTGCAAATGTAAAGAGAATCCTTAAACACTTAACTACACAAAACTGAACGAATATATAAAAACTTACCTTGGAAAAATACCAATGCTACAGCCAGTACCCACAGTCCAAACATAGTATAATCCCTTACGAAAATTTCCTATAGGAATTCCTATAGGAAAAATTCCTATAAGAATTTGGGACAAAATTCCTATAGGAATTTTTCCTATAGGAATTCCTATAGGAAAAATTCCTATAGGAAAAATTCCTATAGGAAAAATTCCTATAGGAAAAATTCCTATAGGAATTTTGTCCCAAATTCTTATAGGAATTTTGTCCCAAATTCTTATAGGAATTTTTCCTATAGGAATTCCTATAGGAAAAATTCCTATAGGAATTTTTTCTACAGGAATTCCTATAAGAATTTAATAGGAAGAATTCCTATAAGAATTCTCAAGTCTAGTCCCAAATTATTATAGGAATTTCCTATAAGAAAATAATTTATAATTCTAATTTCCTATAAGATTTTTGGTATTCCTGCAGAAATTCTAGAATCTAGATGAAATAATAGTAAATGACAGACAATGTTGTTCATCACTCTTAATTTTTTAATGCAAAAAATAGATATAAATATTAATAAATACTAATTAATAATATTGCAAATATAAAAATTAATATGAGAAATTGGTTATACTAAACATTACAAATCAATTATAGTTTTCACCTATTGTGCCAAATTAATCATTCTACCTCGATGCAATGCCATATGATGCGTGCTACGTTATTATTTTACTCTGTCTAACTATTTTACTTTGTCTAATGCCAGACTATTTTACTCTGTCTAACTCCAGACAATTGTACTTGAATGTCAAGGGGAAATGCTGGCTCCGAAATGGATTAACTAGCCTATATTCCTATATATGTGTCTCAGTTACCAATTGAATCACATTGTGCCCTGATGCGCCTTACTTTATTATTTTACTATAGTTTACTCTGTCTAACGCCAGATGATTTTACTCGTCAGAGCGCTGGCACTTAATGGGCTAAACCATAGGTAATAACCATAATTGATATTTAAAGTTCAGTTTAAAACTGGCCTCAAAACATAGTCCTAAAATAAGTTCTTGTTCTTGTTTGCTTTTCTTTACTTTGCAACACTTTCCCATGTTGTTTATATTTGTCCTCATATGTTGACGAACCTCTGAGGCCTTACATCCATACTTTGTTGATAGCTGTAAAAAGACAAATACATTTATTTTATGTATACCATTCCAATGTGTTTTGTTAACCCATTAAATATGCCCAAATGCACCCAATTTATTATTTTACTCTAAGTGGAGAGTCTAGCACTTTAATAGAATAAACACAGTAAAATAACAAAGTACTAAAAGTAGGGCACATTGCTTCTAAATATGCCACACAGCAGCTTTTGCAGTTAATTATTAACCTTTCAATGACCAACATTCATTTTGATTAGTAAAATCATCTGATAAATATCAAAGTACTGAAAGTGGGGATGGAGTGTTAAGCCTAGTTTCCATTTGGTCGTTAGTTGTCGCTGGCACGACAAGTGGCTGATGTAATAGAGTGTCAACAAAAAACTCTGCAATCATTAAGACTGATTTGCATATCACACAAACAGACTATTATTATATTAGACTATTTCACATCTACCGCTTGTCGTGCCAGCGACAACTAACGACCAAATGGAAACTAGGCTTTAGGGTGAATTACATCTAAATGTGCTAACGCCAAATAATGCAAAATAGTCTGGTATTAACAGGGCAAAATATTGAGCTTTGAAATAGAGCACATTAGTGTGAATTTGTGAATTGGGTCTTAATGAGTTTACACAAAACACAGGGAGACAGCAAGGTAACCTATCAAAGTTGTCCACTCTCTTTCAAGTAAAATGATCTGGTGTTAGACAAGGTAAAATAAAAAAGTGCTGAAAGTTGAGCACATTCATCTTAACAAGTTAGCATGAAATGTAAGCTAGCAGAGAGCCTGGTTAATATGAATACCATCACATAGTTATGTTTAATTAATAGGGCATTACACTAAAGCATGTCTATAAAGGCTAACAGATTTTAATACATTGACTGGTGCAAGACCTCTCAAAATGAAAATTGTTTAATTTAAACAAAACATATGAATAAATACTGCTGCTGATTTGAGCAAGTAGTTAAATTTTCTATAGGCATGCATTAAATATGGCTGACAATTTACAATTAATCTGGCATATAAAGTTGGCACTTGGGATATACAAATATATTAATAAACATGGATAAGTCTGATTCAAATATAAAACTTTTATAGTAGCATTTGTTGAAGTATAAACGCTATAAATATATTTATATCAGCATTCTAATTCCGTTTATATTGTCGCGGCAAATTCAAATTTTATCGAACCACATGCTCGAATTTCACAAATGAAGATTGGAGGTATTTCCTTTATAATTTGCTTTATTATAAATAAAATATAAACTTATTCTTACCTGAACATTATGCAAACATCCCTGATGTATTACTAGTGAAAATCCGGTTGAATCCTATAAAAAATAGTTCTATTTTACACATAAACCATTGACAAACACTGACTTCAAAAAATATCGGAGGTGTGATGATCTATCCTTTGATGCTTGGCGCGTGTGGCAAGAAAACTAGACACCAGTCTGTCAGTCGCGCACATTGCGGTAATTATTCATTTAATCTTAGGGAATAAATAGTCCCAGTATTAAATTCTCTATTAATAAATGTCTATGAGTAAAATACGATATAGGAATAGTGTAGTTGTATAAGAAATTAAAATTCCTATAAGAATTCTTATAGGATATGATAATGGTGAAAAAATTCCTATAAGAAATAGAAATTCCTGTAGGAAGGAGTTATTTCGTAAATTATATTTATCTGTATAATTTTTTATATAAGTAAAGTTCTTATACCCATGCATGTATCAGGCCATAGTGGTATAGGGTCTAAGGCTATGAATTTTCACCACCATTTTCCAATCCTATAAGAATTCCTAAATTTCAAATCCTATAGGAATTTTCATTTCCTATAGGAATTCCTATAGGAATATTTTTTCCTATAGGGATTTTTTCCACCATTTTCAATTCCTATAGGAATTCCCTCTGAGGAATTCCTATAGGAATTTTCAATGCCAATAGGAATTCCTATAGGAAATTTCAATTCCTATAGGAATTCCTATAGGAATTTTCAATGCCTATAGGAATTCCTATAGGAAATTTTAATTCCTATAGGAATTCCTATAGGAATTTTCAATGCCTATAGGAATTCCTATAGGAAATTTCAATTCCTATAGGAATTCCTATAGGAATTTTTTTGACCATTTTCAATTCCTATAGGAATTCCTATAGGAATTTTCAATTCATATAGGAATTCCTATAGGAATTTTCAATTCCTATAGGAATTCCTATAGGAATTTTGATTTCCTATAGGAATTCCTATAGGAAATTTTCGTAAGGGAGGTTTCATAATGCATAATTAATTTGGCATTGCAAGAACAGTTGCTGAATTTATGGTAGCATTACCAACTTACTGAAAACATGCAACTAATTTTCCTGCACTGTGTATCACAGTATCAATAGCACAAAGTGTGAAATGAGAACAATGCCTAGTTTGATTTCAATAAGACTGACACTAGCCTCTGAAATAATTTGCAACTGTATAAACAACAAACTCTTTATAATTTTGTTGATTTCTAAATATATAATTGAAAACTTATGTACATTTTATGCACATCAACTCCAGATATAAGTATCAGTTTATACTACATGTATATGTAACCCCTGAAAATGTCTTAATATAATAACTTCATCTTCCCTGAGGATCAAGAAGGTTTTGCTTAGGAAATCAATAAGCTTCAATTGCATTATTAGCTTCAATTTTCTCAGGATTTGGGATCAGTCCCACACATTGTTGCTTTGTATTTTGATCAATGAAATTAACTATGTGTTCTTCATCCATCACACCAGAAACTTCAGCAACATCCTGAATGTCGTCATCTGACAAATCAATGCTTTCAGTAGTGGCTGCATAATTCTCAGGGAAAGCAAAGATATGGTTAGGTATGCCAGCAGGACTTTCCAACTTATCTTGGGCACGTATTCTATGTGAATTCCAATAATTAACAAGATTAGAACATTCCCTTTGATAGGGATAGCAGCCAAAATTTGAAATTTACAGGGGGGCTCCGCAAGTAGGCTAGTTTGATAGAGCTCGCGATTTAAAACATAATGGTGTTTGTTTCATCAAAATCGGTCAAGACAATCAAAAGTTACGGCAATTTGAATATTGGAAGAGCGACACTGTATAAATGTATTACAGCTGGGTGTGAAATGTGGCACCAAAATGCTTGGTTTTAAGTGGATTTTTGAACATATAAGGTCATAACTTATAGACATTTCATCCAATCAATCACCACAATATTTTCAGAGGACATTGGCGACATACAAAGCAACAACATAGTGTAAACCATGGAAACCGTATGACGTCATGAAATGACAAAAAAAAACACGGAAACTGAAATTAGACCATTACAAAAGTGTTGAATGACATGTTATATGTCAAATAAGTAATACTAGTTGATAAAATGTTACAAAACTGCGTTACCATGGAAATATGAGACGTCATAGCTATAAACAATATGCACTTAAAATACATATTTTTCATTACGAAAACATTAATTTTTAAAAACTAAATGTGTGTCGGATAGCATTACATGCTCAACAACACGACGGGCAACATCATTCAGTTACCATGGTAACCATATGACGTCATTTTTATATACATTTAATTGCAACATTCTGCATATCTTTGCTGAAAATTTTATACTTAAAATTAACTTATTGAAATATGTTGATAGTTTCATTATTGTACACCCTACCAATCCTAAACACTTGGCAGTTGTCACATAGACTGTTTCCATGACAACACTACAAATCTGATGATGTCCCAATTACATCACTGATGACATCATACTACTATTGATAACTTACTCATGTTGAGGAGGAAATCAATTATTTTTCAAGAATCATATTATTTACTGTAACACTAGTTTATCAATCAAAGATACAGTTTCGACAACAAAATTATTGGTAACAGGAGTTGTTTCAGTTCATTATCCAAGCTATTCCACAGTCTAACAGCTCAAAACCGAAAACTCCTATGACCCGATAAAGTTTTGCATAAGGGAATATGCAGTAATTCCCTGTTTCTGGTGCCCCAGTCAGGTTCCACACGGTTTGTTAAATAACTCACATACATGGATATGGTGGAGCGAGTCCATTCATGCACTATTTTCTACATACTGTCTCATTTAAGAAAGGCATACAGTTTGAATGCATTGACACTTCTAATCCATGGTGTATTTTAAATCGATAATGCACACTATAGGAATGAAAAATAATAGATTAGTCATCAGTTGAACTAATCAAAATTTCCCATTTATCCTGAACAGTTCAGTTTACTGTTGGGTTTTCAGCATATCAATTGGTAGAAGACATAGCCAAGTTACAATGTCAACCCAAGATTTTCCCATCCGCTCCCTTGTTTCACTTAACTCGATTACCAACTTATTAGTTAAAAATACAACTGTGGTCTTACCAACAACCTGCTGTTGTTTTTAATACACTCGGTATATCATGCAATACCTGGTCAGTAATTCCAAGTCTCAGATGACCATCGCCAACAGATGTCTGCTCTGATGCTCTTTATAAAGCTGTAAAATAACTGTACAACTACCCTCTGGGTGTTTTGCAAGCATGCACAGGGATGATTATATTAGGGTCAAGCACATGAAGGCTTCTTTTCACCCTTTACTCCTGGTTGTCCTCCAAACTACAGGTTGTTTCAATGATTTTATTAAATAAACGATAACATACTTTACGATTACCTTTCCACCACTCAGTTTTTCATCATTTTTAAGCAGGGCAATCAGTTTTCTTTCATCCCAATTTTGCAAGTTCCACGAGCACATATCCAGTGACGCACGCCATTGGCAAACTTGCAAAATTACCTAAATTCAAATGAATTTCCACATGTGAGCTCGATCGTTGAACAAAACAAATTATATATCAAAAGAAACCTTAAAACATATAGTTTATGTACATACCTGTCGTTGTAGACATTTTGCGTTAAATTGAGTCGTATCTTGCTTTTCAAAATTGACTTTTCAAATACAAGTCTTCTGCTCAAAAAGTTGAAGAACGACATAGTTCAGAAGAATCTTCAGGCTTTAAACTTTAAGGTAGTACTATTTCAAACCTGCATTCAGGTCGGGCTCATGTGTGGAAAATTGCTTGAAGAGGGACGGGTAGGTGAGTAAATGCATGCCGCGTGATTTTAATGGTGGCGAAATTGCAAATGTGCCCGAACTTTGATGCTTCGTAACAAAATAACTACAGCACATCAGGCTTCGAAAATACACTCATTTTGTAGACTGAGATCCACTTTGTTTTTAAAGATTAATTTTAAAACGATATGTTTGCTTTCTTTTGCATAATAACACGCTGAAGCTAGCATATATGAGAAAATATTAACCGGAAATTGAAGCTGTTCCAAAGCGTAACCGACTTCCGGTTGCGATCCCTACCTTTGAACAATAGGCACATAAACATAGGCAAGCAATTGGCGATCATGTGAAAAGTATGGATTTTATTGTCATCTTTGTAGTAGGATGTTAACTGTTGTTTAAGGAACTTCTCTAACCTTTCATGTAAATCCCGCCACCACCGCTATCTTATTGCTTGTTGATATATCACAGAATCTGTTGGGTCATTCATAATTCCATGTGTGAATAGTAGCCATCATACCAGTTTCAGTTCCTCTGTCAATTCTCAGATGCCTAGGAACGGCCTTTGTTTCGAACAGATGTTGAAGGTACATCTTACCCCACAAAAGGATTTGAGCTCGAAGTGCACACAAATAAAAATGAGGGTTACGGGAGTTACGGGTTGTAAGTTAGAACTCAAAGTTGGGAGAGATGATTGAACAGTGGAATTAAAAGATGATGAGACCAAAGGAAGAACAGAAAATATATTATTTGAGGCAGCTAAACTTTGTGGAACAGATGCTAGAGGCGATGTGATGGTGGGCAAAATAGATTCACGATTGTGGTTTGGAATAGATACAACAGGATGGATGTTTGAGCTGTGTACGATGATGGAAGAGCGGTGAACGATGAAGAAACAGTTGAATGTAAAATAGACGAGGAAGGAATAATGGGTGCAGCAGTTGAAAGATTGTCGTATGAAACAACGGTGGCAGGTAAAACAGATGAAGCAGCAGATACGGATGGTTCTGCTGAAGCACTGGTGGTTGCAAGATTCGTTAGAGGACTTAGGGGTGGACCATTTGACTTTTAAGGGGGGGGGGTGTGGAAGATTCGTCTGTGCAAGAATTTTTTCCCCAATATATTTGGCGGCAGGATATTTTTTTGCCTCTCATAATAACGGCTTACAGTGACTTTAGACTTTCAAATAGCTATCATCGCAGACGTAGCAGGGGTTCTCAGTCAGAGGAGGCCGAGAACTGAATCCCAACAGGGGCCAAGGAATTTTCACTGTGCGTTATTTTATATGGTTATGTCTTAATGTTCCCCACACTAAAGCGTGCAAGTTTACTTACAAAGAATGTATAACTGCACCAAAACCTAAAACATGCAGGGATAGAGTAGAGTACTCGAAAATGGGGGAGGGTACAGTATTTGAATGACCTGTAACCTTGGGGGGTTCGGGGGCATGCTCCCCCGAGAAAATTTTAAAATTTGAACCTCGGAAATGCTATTTCCTGCGTTTTCAGCCATGGATTTGTCCACAACAACTTTGCTGCACTAAGCCTAAGGAACACTTACTGTCCCTTATTTTTAAACAAGGGAAAATCACAAAATGAGCTTTGATTAATATGTAATAAAACAAGATTTCAATAATGCAATTTTAACTGCCCTCCGAAACAACAATGTTCCACCAAATATAGCTCTGTAGCTTTTCAATCGTTCATACAGATAGCTTCTTGGGGATCGGGTTGCATCCTCTTCAGAAATTTTTTAAAATCTAGATCATTTTCACATTAAAATCATCGTATATACAGTACGTTCAACTTGCATCCTGTAGATGGGCCTTTGAAGCTTTAATAGTTTGGAGCTATGTTATCAAAAAACGCACACAGACTCAACCATCCAAAAATATTTTTTCTACCATGCATATTAGATATGTATAAATAACTTATAAACTTGTACATATCTTAAGCCCAGATTTTCTCACGGGGGGGGGGGCAACAATTTTGCCAGGGAACGCCACTGGTATGTTATAGACTCCAAAGGCGCCAGAATCCCTGTGATGTT